ATTTTATTTTAAAAATAGTACCCATGCACAATATTGCTGCAATAAATGTAATATTTATTTTATATAATGGATAGAGCCCGACCGATATATCGGCGGGCCGATATTATCGGCCGATATTAGGCATTTTCCTAACTATCGGTATCGGCATTTATAATGGCCGATAAATGAATATTTTAAAAAATGCGGGTGCGGTGATTCATGTAAGGGTGGCGCTGCCAATAAAGCACCTAAAAGCTGTCACAAAGAACTGGCAAAAGTAATGATTATGAATACAACAAATATAGCAAGGAGACATTTGAATTGTTTCTTAATAAACAAGTGTTTTCAGTCAGTGTCAGCCAAAGATGAAGTTGACGATGCTGACTCGCGATCTTCAGTGAATGTGCGCCAGAGAGAAATGCACATTTCATATGATTACATGAGTCTGTCTGTCTTTCGCTTTGAATTGTTCTGTTTAAAAGTAGATGTATTTCAATTCTCAGGTCTATACGCTGAGTTTCGGTTCATGAGACGAGCTTCAGTTCACCCGCAGGCGCCTCCGTGTTGAGATTATCTATCGCCTGCTATATTTACTTCTTATTTATTAAATCCAGGCAATTGGTTGATGAAACATTGATTAAAATTAAGATACAACTAATAAAAAACGAAATTCACTTTGAAACGAAAGGTTTTGTGCTTTCTGTTTGATGTCTATGTGAAAGTTTCAAAGCATATTTTAGTGCCGCTTTCAGAGCGCTCACGTCCGTAGTGCTGAACTGTCGCGTCTGTAACATTGTTTTTTCCTCATAAATGCGAACACGAAAAATAAAATAAAATAAAATGAATATTTTATGTAGCCTGTGGAGACTGAGAGCCAACCCTTCTTCATCCGGTGGGTAGTAGCCTACTTGTGATTTGCGCAGTGTAATTCACAGAATTGATTTCTCTGCTACCAGCCTCTGTCACGTATTGTGTGAGCTTGTGACTATTGCAAGCGCGCAGCTGAGAAGTTCTGATTATATTGTCTGCTATATTTACTTCTTGTTTATTAAATCCAGGCAATTGGTTGATGAAATATTGATTAAAATGCGTGGCGCGAGCGACAAATCTCCGACAGTAAACTGATTCTGCTTTGTCTCGGGTAAACAGCTGTTGCGACGCGAGCAATAACGGCCGCGTCCGGTGTAGACGCAGTGTTAAAGCTCATTCTGCCTATAACGCTACGTTACAACATCAAGCAAGCAATATTCCAATAATTTATATAATTATAACACTTTATATAGGGCCATTTTGCATTAAGAGTAGCCTAGTTTCATACATTTTGCTTACTAATTATTTAAAATAGTATAAAAGTACTGTACATATGTAATTAAAAACGTTTTCATTATTATATTATTAATTTTACTTTAGTAAAAAGATCTGAGTTCTTCCTCCACTGGTAGAGATTAGAGGAATTAAGACTAAAAATAGAAGATAATAAGGTTTTGTCAGTGACACTTTTTATATATTTATTGATACAAGTTATGACTAAATTAAAAGACAAAGTCGTTAGTGAAGATTGTGCAAAAGTATTTATAATATAATATAATATAATATAACATGCAATGCAAACTAGTTTGGTTACAGCTCAACTGTATAATTCTCATTCTATCATTCCCCATGCCTCCATTACAGATCTGTGTCACACAAGTGTTTGATCACCACATTTGAGTGATCATTGCAAAACGTGTTTATAAAATATATTTATTCTGTTTATACTGTGTAAAGTACCCATCAAAAGTTTTTACACACCAATAGGAAAGTGTCCAAAATTTTGACTGGTATACTGTACTATAATACACATAAATAATATTGCTACTGTATTATAATATACACATAAATAATATCAGCCGATATATTGGTATCGGGCTTTTTTTACTCCCTAATATCGGCATCGGCCCCCAAAAATCCATATCGGTCGGGCTCTAATAATGGACCCTTTTTGACATTTTCAGGGTTCTCAGACATGGAAGTCGCCATAGCACAAACTTCTATTGTGGTAAACAGGAGATGGCAGTACATATAATTTTTGTATTCTCATTTGCTCCAAAAGAAAAGAAAAAAAAGAAAACAAAAGAAAAAAAAGTCATGATTTTCTTTCCAAAAGAGTCAAAATATATAGGGAGATTTATTACAACAGTCAGAAGAGAGAAAGATGTCATATGCCATCACTTCCTCAGCCATTGTATTAGTGTTAATTATTATTTTTTATTTACTGCCAAGGTATTATAAGCATCCTTCGGATGAAACGTTAAAACGAGGTCCTGACTCTCTCTGGTCATTAAAAATCCCATGGCACTTCTCGTAAAAGAGTAGGGTTGTAACCCCGGTGCTCTGGGCACATTCCACCCATTGGCCCTTGCCAATCATGGCCTCCTAATAATCCCCATCCACTGAATTGGCTCTATCACTCTCTCTCCTCTCCACCTGTAGCTGGTGTGTGGTGTGTGCACTGGCGCCGTTGTACTGTGGCTGCAGTCGCATCATCCAAGTGGATGCTGCACACTGGTGATGGTTCAGGAGAGATTCCCTGATATGATTATAAAGTGCTTTGGGTGTACAGTAGTACTTATGAAAGCGTTATGTAAATGCTTGCTTCATTCATTCACTCACTCACTCACTCACTCACTCACTCACTCACTCACTCACTCACTCACTCACTCACTCACTCACTCACTCACTCACTCACTCACTCACTCACTCACTCACTCACTCACTCACTCACTCACTCACTCACTCACTCACTCACTCACTCACTCACTCAAAGTATAGTGTTATTGTCATGGTGGGTTGCAGGAAGGCAGACGAAGAAGAAGATTAGTTCCAATACAAAGTTTTAATGACAATCCAGAAGACATACAGGCTGAGCAACACACACTGTAGCGATTCTAGCTCAAATAAAGGGAATATAATTTTAATAACTGATCGTGAATATGATCAGGGATCGCATACACAGATTAAAATTACCCGTAAAGGGGATACGTTGCCAATGTATCTGTATGCAGGGTATCCGCGGGGTCTTGAAAAGTATTAAAAGGTGATAAATCAATTTTGGGAAAATTAAGACCCTTAAAAAGTATTAAAAAGTCTTATCACGGCTTTATAAAGTCTTAAATTTTGAAAGTATTTTTTCTAGGGATGCACCGAATATTCGGCCACCGAAAATAGCCCAAAAGTGCATTTTCGGAAAGACTTTTATCACCGAAACAATACGGCCGAAATGTTGTGATGACGCGAACAGAAACCGCGACCTGCACGTGCTTGTCTGAAGCAACCTTTTACTGTCTATGGAAGCAACATGTCTGCGGTGTGGACGTATTTCAGTATATCTGAACCCGCGAGGAGACGGAAGCCTTGTTTATACTTTCGCCTGCCTCTGCAGCGCGAGTCTCCACAGACAGCGCGCGTAACGTTACCTCTCCAAACGGTCGAGGCGTTTATACTTGACGCGCTCGCCGTTGTACTATTCTTTGAAACGACAGGGGACGACTCAAGTAACTGTCCTCTAACCATCAGGAATCGGTGAGAAGAAAGATAAACACGTGACAATGTTTATTTTTTAGTAGCCTACCACCACCAATACAAAAATAATCATGTAAAACCCAGTAAACCCTGAGATTATTACTTGTGACATTACAACAAAATATGTATAGGAATATGTACTAAATTAACGCTCTCTTAAATATTTTCTAATTTCACTAAACATATTTCATTAAGTTTCGTGTACATTTGTATTAAACATGGACCTTTGTTCATTAAAATGGCTTTTTATGCTAGTGTATGCTCATTTTTAAAATGTAATCAACTAATTTAGACGTGCAAACTGGGTGCTGGTGTGATGAGAAGTTCGTGCTCGGCTTTGTTTTTATGAGAGAACATTTAATTTTAAAACCTTTCTGCAGGCCAGCAGATTATTATTTAATGTACACATGAGTGGGGTCAAGTTAAACATTTTAGTTTGAATTTTATTTTATACTGTGCATTGTGCTAAATAAATATTTGCATAATTTGTAATTGATTTATTCTTTGAAAATGTTAATTTATGCAATTGCAATGCCTTGATTTTAGTATTAAGTTTGTACACAGTCATAACCATAAATGCAATGGTACTTATAATTGGCATAATTTCTTTCGGTGTTTCGGTTTTCGGTTTTTCGGCCTTGGGTTCCTCTTTTTCGGTTTTCGGTTTCGGCCAAGAATTTTCATTTCGGTGGATCCCTAATTTTTTCTGAATTAGCTGTCCAACAGTTTGAGTCCCAAAAACATCGTAAAAGTGTGTGAATTTAGTGATTTTTATTTTTTTAAAAACGAAGAACTGAGGCACATGTCAGCATGATTGTTGTTGAGGGTGGAGCAAAGTTTTGTTTTGTTTTTTAATAAACTTTGCTTTAATTTACTATCCCAGCCTATTTGATTTTTTTTTTTATCAGAGTGGTCTATAGTCTTTATCACAAACTAAAACTGTTAAGTTAAAAGTATCACTGTAAATGGTTACAGCTTGAAGTGGCGGTGAGGTATTAAAAAATATTGAGAAGGTCTTGAAAAAGTCTTGAAAAGGTATTAAAATTAACTTCAAGATTCCTGCATATACCCTGGCATCATCAGTTCCCCAGGGTGTCCAATGCAAATGACGATCTCAGGAAGTGCCCGTATATTTCTGTTGCCAAGGTGACTGCAGGTGCACAGGCCATTACCTTGATAGCTGGAAGCTAAGCACGTGCCGCATGGACACAGTAATGTACTGATTCAGTCATTACACCAGAGCTGCTGGCTCTCAAACGGACAGAGCGCAGGTGTCACAGGGTTTCTGTGCAAGTGAAAATGCTCTGTACTAAACCTTTTGAGTAGTGTGGTTAAAAGACACAGACAAAGACAGGTTCACTAGTTGCTGGATGTTTGTTTAGGCATGAAACTGGTCTTAAAATTTCCTAAATGCAAGATTTGGAAAAAAGCTTATGAGATAATTCAATACATTTTCTTACCGTTGAGGTGAGATGCTCCAATGCTTTCATTTGAAGAACTGGGTTACAAGCATCAGATGATTTCTCTGCATCTTCTTTATAGCTACAGAACAGCATAAAACACAGTTTAATCTCAATTTAACAAGTTTGTTTTTTTGGACATGGTACCATGTCAATTGCATAGCATTTGTCAATTGCATAGCATTATTTTGTAAATATACTAAAAATGCCATTTACACATAAAGTGAGACAAATACACTTTTTATGATAAACTTGTTTTTAAAGATTTCTTGATTAAAATTATTTTTGGTGACATATAGTCAAAAAGTTATACAACTACTGTTCTGAGATCATAATGGAGAAAAAAGCATCAGTAAAAGGATTAATCTTATCAAGTAGTTTTGTGCAATGTTTTATTATTATTTATTACAGAATATAAATATTGCATGGATAGTTCACGTTTGTAAATGTTATGCGGTGCGACTTGATTTGATAAAAACTTTCAACTTTCAACTTTTGAATGGTTGCATACGATTTATTTATTTATTTATTTTAAGAAATGAATACTTTTATTCAGCAAGAATGCATTAAAAAAATCACAATAAAATCACAATACATGGCATACAATTAATTTGGTAAAGCTTGCATTTTGAAAGCTTAAAGGGATAGTTCACCCCAAAATGAATATTCTGTCAGTAATTACTCACCCTCATGTTGTTCCAACCCCGTAAGACTTTCGTTCATCTTCGGAACACAAATTAAGATATTTTTGATTAAATCTGAGAGCTGGATCACTCCTCCATAGGCTTCTAAGGGATTGAAACTTGCCGGCCCTGAAAAGTTAAAGACATCGTTAAAATAGTCCAAGTGACTACAGTGGCTCAATCTTAAGTTTATCAAGCGACGAGAATACTTTTTGTGCGCAAAAAACAAACAAAAATAACGACTTTATTCAACTCTTCATTTCCTTCTCTGTGGGCCTCGAGATAGTTCACGCACTGTAACTGCGCAGCGCTTCTGTGTTGTACGTCACACGCATCACACACATGACCAGCGTTGGCCAGTAGTGAGCCTACGTTTGACGTACAACACAGAAGCGCTGCGCAGTTACACTACGTGAACTAACTCGAGGCCCACAGAGAAGGAAATGAATAAAGTCGTTATTTTTGTTTGTTTTTTGCGCACAAAAAGTATTCTTGTCGCTTGATAAACTAGAGCCACTGTAGTCACTTAGACTATTTTAACGATGTCTTTAACATTTCTGGGCCGGCAAGTTTCGACTTAGAAGCCTATGGAGGAGTGATCCAGCTCTCAGATTTAATAAAAAAATATCTTAATTTGTGTTCCGAAGATGAACGAAAGTCTTACGGGGTTGGAACAACATGAGGGTGAGTAATTACTGACAGAATTTTCATTTTGGGGTGAACTATCCCTTTAATCAGGCCACATGGAGGTGCAGACAGAGGGACCAAAAACAGGTCTGATCTCACTAAAGATGGACATCCTGCCTAGACAAAGCCACTAGGACAGAACCTGACTGACTTTCCCAGCAGACAGGAAATGATGCAGATACATGACCTATAGCTTAACTTCCATTTGCGTCCATTGACCCCCTGCTTACGTACTGTGTACCAAAGTGCTAAACGTCATTGATCTGATTAAGTGAGGCCCTGCACAAATTATTTGCAGCTCATTAGAGGTCAAGCCAGGCTAAACAGTAAGGACTTTTTATTTTCTACAGAAAATATTGGCTACAGAATATACACTCAACGGCCACTTTATTAGGTACACCTGTCCAACTGCTCGGTAACACTTAATTTCTAAGCAGCCAATCACATGGCGGCAACTCAGTGCATTTAGGCATGTAGACATGGTCAAGACAATCTCCTGCAGTTCAAACCGAGCATCAGTATGGGGAAGAAAGGTGATTTGAGTGACTTTGAACGTGGCATGATTGTTGGTGCCAGAAGGGCTGGTCTGAGTATTTCAGAAACTGCTAATCTACTGGGATTTTCACGCACAACCATCTCTAGGGTTTACAGAGAATGGTCCGAAAAAGAAAAAACATCCAGTGAGCGGCAGTTCTGTGGGCGGAAATGCCTTGTTGATGCCAGAGGTCAGAGGAGAATGGCCAGACTGGTTCGAGCTGATAGAAGGGCAACAGTGACTGAAATAACCACTCGTTACAACCGAGGTATGCAGCAAAGCATTTGTGAAGCCACAACACGCACAACCTTGAGGCGGATGGGCTACAACAGCAGAAGACTCCACCGGGTACCACTCATCTCCACTACAAATAGGAAAAAGAGGCTACAATTTGCAAGAGCTCACCAAAATTGAACAGTTGAAGACTGGAAAAATGTTGCCTGGTCTGATGAGTCTCGATTTCTGTTGAGACATTCAGATGTTAGAGTCAGAATTTGGCGTAAACAGAATGAGAACATGGAACCATCATGCCTTGTTACCACTGTGCAGGCTGGTGGTGGTGGTGTAATGGTGTGGGGGATGTTTTCCTGGCACACTTTAGGCCCCTTAGTGCCAATTGGGCATCGTTTAAATGCCACGGCCTACCTGAGCATTGTTTCTGACCATGTCCATCCCTTTATGGCCACCATGTACCCATCCTCTGATGGCTACTTCCACCATGTCACAAAGCTCTAATCATTTCAAATTGGTTTCTTGAACATGACAATGAGTTCACTGTACTAAAATGGCCCCCACAGTCACCAGATCTCAACCCAATAGAGCATCTTTGGGATGTGGTGGAACGGGAGATTCGCATCATGGATGTGCAGCCGACAAATCTGCGGCAACTGTGTGATGCCATCATGTCAATATGGACCAAACTCCCTGAGGAATGCTTCCAGCACCTTGTTGAATCTATGCCACGAAGAATTGAGGCAGTTCTGAAGGCAAAAGGGGGTCCAACCCGTTACTAGCATGGGGTACCTAATAAAGTGGCCGGTGAGTGTATATCAAATATTAATAATATCATAAACCTTAGATGCACAAACAAAACATGTCAGTGAACTGATGAGATGTGCTTTGACAGACTGTGAAAGGTCAAAAGCAGTGAGGCAGCACTCTGAACAGGTTGGGTATGTCTGAATATCTGAAAGTGAGACAGAGCCTGGAGCAAAATCATTTGTCCGGCATGCACTCGGATGAGCACTGTCACACAGACATCTGCTGGTGAAGGCTGGAACTGCAGCTGACGTTACGGAAAGATACTGAATGATTTCCCTGCCACATTTGGCCTTAATCATCTACAAGCCCTGTCCAGATTACAGGTCATTGATTTTATTTTTTTTAAAATATGGGTTGCAGATTATGTCAAACCCCATTTGCCTATTGTAATTTTTTATGGGGATAATTCATCCAAAAATGAAAATTGTGTCATCATAGAGTGCTGCAGGGATGACGTATTAATTCAAAGAAAATCATATAAACCCAACAACTGTCCATTTTAACAAGGTAGGTTAAACGACGTCGTTGTCGTTAAGACAAACGTCGGGTTCCGGAAGTAAAAAATACATTTTTAATGATAACTTAGAAACCTTTTTAGACAGCCCTACTGTGAGCTACGAGGTTGTTAATCGATGGTATATGCTTATGTTAAAGCTGTTAGTCCGCATTATTTCAACTTACTTTTAAAACGACCGTGTTTTAAAACAGTGGAATTTGTGGCGAAAAACTTGATGGACAGAAAATTCCAGCAATCAGAGTCGAAACAAGCAAACCGCACCAAAAGAGCTCAATAGCTCCGTCTAGCTCCGCTTAAATATTTGTATGTATATGGGTATTTTGCAATAAACGTAAAATATGTTGTTTCTATAGATATAATCAATTTTAATTGAGTAGTTTTATAATCCTACATTGTTTTTTAATTTGATTATGTTGTTTGCAGTGCTTCATGGAATTGTAGTTCTTTCCCTCACTAAGCCCGATATGGACACAGCCTTGTACACCTTTGTATTTTTGTCCGATTTTCACAAAACTTTTTTTTTACTTCAAATCAAAGTTTGCAATGTTATGATTCACCGCCTAGCTGATTGGCTTGGTTCATGGCTTCTAACGCTTTAAAAAGGAATTTTTTTAATCCCTATAGGAGAAATGAATGGAAAAAATACTTCCGGAACCAACACTGTTAAAAAAAATTGGTCTGGCGCTGTTGCACTCTATTAGCTTGACAGCCTTGTTTGAAAGAGTAAAACAACCAAACTAAAAAAGTTTTTAAAAGTTTATAGGCCGACAGACAGACAGAGAGATACATGATGGAAGACCTCTTCATTTCCCAGTATTAGTCCTACTTGTTCAATTTCTTTTTAATGAATTGCAATTTAGTAAATTTCACTTCCTGTCACTCCAATTCAAATTCCAAATCACTTCAAACACTCACGAATTGAAAGGCAGCCAATTCTTAAATTCTGAATTTTGCCCAATCCAGACCCTCAGTTGAGGTCCACTGTGACCTCGTTTCCACCAAAAAAGAACTGGTTCGGAACTGGTGCTGGTTCAAAGTTGGTTCAACTTGCGAACCTTCTCAGAACCTGTTTGTTTTTCCACTGACTAGAGAGCCCAGCGAACGACGTCGTTACGTCACTGTGTATGTCGCCATACGTCTTAGCTTTCCCATTCCCGTCGTGTTGTTGTTCACAGTAACCCGCCCCCAGCCCCCGACGTAAGCATGACGTGGCAAGAAAGAACGGTTCTAGTCCAGCAAAGAGTTGGTGCCGCTTTGGAACCAATTTTCCTGGCCGAGAACCGGTTCTTTGGCTGTCGAAACACAAAGAACTGGTTCGCGAGTAGGCACCGGCTCCAAACCGGCTCTCAAAATGCTTTGGTGGAAAAGGGGCATGAGAGAGAAAGCCTCCATCACAATAACCTTTTGGATCCCAAGCCAAGAAAAACAACCCAAGGGGTAAATGGTCACAACTTCCATAGTAATTAAAAGCCTCTTTTATATATGTTTAGCTCTGCTTAGGTAATCAGTAATGGTTGTTTACAGGTCCAGGCACGTTCTGTTAGCACTGGATAGTAAATTAAAAGCAATTAAGTTGTACAATCATGAGGGACAAGATATTTAATGACCTTTGACCTAAGACAAAACAATATCATTAAGCTTTAATGTGTAACCGTATGCTCACCGCCTGTGGGTTCCACTGCGAGGCTGCACGTATGGGACCAGCTGTAGCAGTAGATGTACTGCACTTGGCCAGTTGACCTGATTTCGGAAATCACAGCTCTGGGCTTCACATTCCTCAAAGGTGAACTGGTACAGAGACCTGGAGTCCTCAAATACTTTGTTCTGCTCCACTGGACACAACAGGGTTAAACATCTGACATGAAGCAGTCTAGACAAAACGTATGTAAACGTTATTTTCTAGTCAGGCACCTCAGAGGGAGCCGGGCTGTGCTGCACATTCAAAATCCATATAATTCCTTATAATATAATCAATAAATCATCCAAACTCTACAATGTGATCATTCACAGTAACTGTTTTAATCTCGTCTGTGTACCTGAAAGCAGCATGCCCAAGTCCAGGAGAATGTTCCAGATTTTGGAAGCTATTGCCCTGTTCTGGATAAATTCACAACGATCCATCAGCCATTCCACCAGCTCCTGACCTGTACATGTCCTCCTGAGAATATGCCAGATAAGAACAGGAAAAAGAAGAAAGTGTTACAGGAAATGACAGGCATGATTTTATTAACCAAAACAAAACCATTATATAAATGTTTATGCTTTCATTAAACAATACCATTGGCTGATATTTTGATGATTGTTTGAAAAAAAAAGGAAAGACGACGATTTATTAACTAGTTCCACATTTTTTTGCTCATTTTGAATCGGAGAAGGATTGTTAAGGATGTAAAATTATTGTTAATGTGACTTGGTAAATAAACTGGTAAATTCCAAGCAGTATCTCAATCGTATGTTACAAATTGAATTCATGTAATATTTCATGATTGAAGGATATACTGTACATCCAATTTAATTAGTGACTTAAAACTGTGCTAAATCTGAAATAAATCTTCAAATCTTAATCCAATAATATGTTTACAATCCTTTTGATTATGTGATTTAAATTAAGTTTAGTTTTACATTTCAGATTTTCAGTGTGGTGTCAGTTTTTTGGACCCAACTGTATGTGACACAATCCATTGTTCTTCTGAAATAAGGAGGCAAAGTCCTCACTGTCCTTTTTTATGTAAATTTATGTTCCAGTTGTACTTAATGTTGACACATTTTTCAGGTAAAATCAATAAACATTACTTACAATATCAAGAAAACAACAAGCAAAATGATTCTATTTTGTATTTTTAGATTAAAATGTAATTGATGTTCTATTTATTAGAAAAACAAAGTATATTTCTCATCAAGTGAACATTTTTCCTTGGAGTCTTTCGTGTACAGACGACAACGTTGTCAATATCATCCCTGTTCACACAGATCTGCAAAAATGACTAAAAACACTGTATTATGCTGCCAGGCCAATAGTTGGCAATGTCACTTTGTTAAGAAACATTACACGCCTACGTGATTTACAGTTTACAGTAATCTGAATTATTCAACCCCCATTGCAAATCAGGTTTATTGGCAAAATTTACAGACTTTCAGCTGTTTGCAATGAATGAACAAATCTAACAAAAGTGATTGAAATATCTCAGCACAACAAATGTTTCAAGTGGTTTCCCCAAATTCAACTGAAAATGCAACTTTTAATTACTTCTGCAGTTTCAAAATTATTCAACACCTTCATGGCAAGCATCTGTAGTACTTAGTAGAACATCCGATTGCTGTTACGACCTGCTGCAAACGAGATGTATAACCAGACACCAGCTTCTGCCAGCGTTTCTGAGGAATCTTAGCCTATTCCTCATGAGCAATGTCATCCAGTTCTCTAATATTCTTGGGTTTGCGTGCTGCAACCCCCTTCTTCAAATCCCACCAGGGACTTTCTATGGGGTTCAAGTCAGGTGACAGTGATGTCACTGTAGAATCTTCCAGGACTTCTTTTGAAACAAAGCCTTGGTGGAATTTGAGGTATGCTTGGGATCATTGTCCTGTTGGAAGGTTCAATGACGCCCAAGCTTCAGCTTCCTCACTGATGGCATTACGTTTTCTCCTAGGATTTTCTGATACTTTAATAAATCCATCCTGCCTTCCACACACTGCAGGTTTCCAGCGACAGAGGATGCAAAGCAGCCCCAGAGCATAACGGAGCCCCACGATGCTTAACTGTAGGCAGTGTTCTTTTCAGCATATGCTTCATTCTTCTCCCACCAGACATACCGCTGATCCATAGGGCCGAAACATTACAGTTTTGTTTCATTGCTCCACAGCTTATTTATATGATTTTGAGCAAATTGGAGCCAACTTTTCTTGTGCTTTTGGGTCAGTAGTGGTGCATGTCTTGGAGTTTTGGCATGCGTTTAGTGCGCGGCTTACTGTGCAAGCTGAAACCTGTCGCCACTAAATCTTGCTGCAGGTCTTTTGCAGTCAATAAAAGGGTTTTTCTCAACCTGCCTTCTCACAAATCTGGTTGCAGCCATTGATAGCTTTTTTTCTGCCCCGTCCAGGTAGTGTAACCACTGTTCATTTAACTTTGAACTTGCGAACTATGCTTCTAACGGTGTATCTAGGAACATTTAGGGTGTATTCACACCAGGAAAGTCCGATAGTTCACTTGCTTTGGTCCGGACCAAATTATTATTATTATTTTTTTTGGTACGGTTCGCTTTCACACGGCTCTTTTTGCAAGTGAACCAAAATTTGTAAACAAAACCACACGTGTGCTAAGGTCGTCCATTCATTGGACAAGGATTCTCAAGTAGGGAAATCAGGAAGTGCAAAAAAGGCTCAGCATGGAGATATTTCGTACTGCAATATTTGTTCTTTTACTAATTTTGTGTTATTCTGTGCTACATGGGCATCTGCCCAAATGTTAATAAGGCAGCTCGTCTCTTCGAAGCTCCAGGTCAAACCACGACTCATTTTAGTAGGCTACAACAGATCACTTTCCCATAACACAACTCCGACTACGGAAGCCTGTTAACTCAAAGGCGCAGTGCTTTCTTTCAATTGGGTCGGTTCATGTTCACACCGTAAACGAACCGTACCAGAGTTCGTTTGGAAGCGTACCGAGACCACCTCTTCAGCTGGGTCTCGGTTCGGTTGTTTGGTCCGCACCCGAGTTCGATTGCTGTATTCACACCTGCTCAAAAGGTCCGCACCAAGGGGGGAAACGAACTAGAGTTCGATTCAATCGAACCAAACAAGGCAGGTGTGAATACACCCTTAGTTTCTTCACTATCTTTTTCTATCCTGTTCCTTGCTTGTGAAGGGTGATGATATCTTCTCTTAACTTTTTGGACCATTCTTTTGACTTAGCCATATTTCTAACATGCAGTCAAACATGACACTCAACAAAACCCTAGCCAGTTCAGATATTCCATGTGTTCTATCTCAAACAAACCTGGTGCAACTAATGAAGCCCTTGATTAGTTGCATCAGGTGTGCTCGAAACAACACCTGTTTCGCAGATTTGTGCTCTTGTGAGGGATTCTATTCAAGGGGTTGAATCATTTTGAGATTGCAGAAGTCATTAAAAGTTTTCATTTGAAAACTTTTCAGTTGAATTTGCAGAAACCACTTGAAACATGTGTTGTGTTGAGCTCTTTCAATACCTTTTGTTTGATTTGTTTATTGCAAACAGCTGAAAGTCTGTAAATTTTGCCAAAAAACCTAATTTGCAATGGGGGTTGAATAATTTCGATTACAACTGTATACACATTTTAATGTAAAATTTCTTAATATTTGCTTTGTTTTATTTTAGTACTATGGATTATTTAGTCATCCAATATTACATTTTTTGAGGAGGCATTGCCTCTTCAGAGGAAACGCCCCTGAAACAATCCCTTCATATTAAGGGCCTATTCACACCAAGAATGATAACTTTACTTTATTGTCCTCGAAAGGGAATTTATATAGACAGCAGTACACATACATGTACAGCAACATAACACACACAGTAAACACACATTACAATAAATCATTCAAAAACATGATGGCTGCAGGAATAAAATAATTACTATATCTATTTGACTTACACAAGGGGAATTTAAATCTGTAGCCCAAGGGAAGCATTTGAAATTCAGTACACAATAGATGTATGACATCGGAAAGGAATGACTGGCCGCCCCTAGTCGCCTTTTGTTTATAAATTTGTGCAATATTCCTTAAAGGGATAGTTCACCCATAAATTAATATTTTGTCATTACTTACCCTCAAGCTGTTCCAAACCAGTGTGAGTTTCTTTCTTCTGTTGAACTCAAAAGAAGATATTTTAAAGAATGTTGGTAAACAGTTGACGGCACCCATTGACTTCCATAGTAGGAAAAAAATGATGACACAATTTTCATTTTTGGGTGAACAATCCATTTAAGTCAGTCCCCACTATCTTACTACATATTTTAACTGCGTATACTACACTTACCTCTATTCCTTACATTGAGGTTACTATGAAAATAACGATAACTACATTTTCGACCACACCAAAAGATGAGAACGTTCTGTTTATTATAAACGGGATGCAGTTATGTCATCTGCTGCTTTAAATGTTCGAGCTCTTTAACATCGGTTGAATTCTGATTGGCTGCCAATGTTTTTTCCATCAACAGCTGGAAAAAAAATTGTATTGAAAGTGATTCCAACAATATATTTCATCTGTACTTATAGATGTGGTGTGGAGTGGACTCCTATATTGTTATAGAATTAGATTATTAAAACTTTATAGTCATAATGCTTGGTTTGAACGGCCCTTAAGGCTAACTGGCAAACACACAACATTGCAATGAAACTTACCTGATGATTCTAGCCAGTTTAATATGTGCTTTCCAGTTATCCTGGCAATTGGATAAGAAAGCATTCCTCAGTGCTCGGCCGGCACATGGCACATTATTCACGCAAACCTTCACAACACATAGAGAACATTCTTAATCAAGATAAAGCGGAAAGATTTAAAATAGTCAGGACAGAAACAGGATGAGATGGTCAGAATTTAACAAAATATAAAACACTATTGGCCTGCATGGCCTCAAAATTTAGAACATAAACTCTTTATCTATCTACACTATATAGTCCAGGTGATATGTGCAACATTTTAGGTGATATGTTCACTTTCTAATGTTTCTCATGATGTACTCATCTTAACACTTACATAACCTAAAACAAGTACTGACAACATCCCCAACCTCTCCATCAAGAGAATTACACTTGACACTATTAAACAACCAGATTTTCAAGTCATCGAAGGACTGAGGGTATCGACGGGAGATAAATACCTGATTTACCTTATGTCTAGTCTGTCCGGCATTTGAACAGAGGATGGACACAGGTGGCTGCTTCTGAGATATAATCTAGCATAGAGAGAAAGAGGTTAAACATCTGAAAAACAATACAGCTTTGTGTCCTGAGACAATGCACTTTTTCAGCTGTTTCTTATCTTAGAACAGCAGCTCTGACGATTACATGAAATATTCATTCATTACAGACAGCATATCTAGCTTTTCCAATTAAACCAAAACAAAACATCACTTTGTTAAAAGGTCAGAGTGGATGCATCCACCTAGGTTAGAACATGTACAGATTACAAAAAAATGACCTTATAAGCAATAAAAGCTATGTTACATTGTCAAAACAGGTTGCTGTGCCTAAAAAGAAACCAGCGTTAAACAAAGTGAAGCAGCCTGATTGTCCATTACTCAATGTGTACTTTAGCTAATAGACTCATGTGGGATGTTGGGGAAACACACAGTGAAGTCATTTTTGTAGCCAGTGTAAACAGCAGCTCTTAACCCCCATGTCTAGAATTTGTGTTGAAGAAACCATAAAAAGATAGGGGCCATTTACTATACAATACATAATGAAGGGATCAGCAAAACGTCATGAAGTTCTCTTTGAATAAAATATTCAATAAAATTTTGATGAAAAGTATTTTCCTGTGGTCTAAAATAAAAGCAGACAAATGTAATATTTACATTTATACATAATGCTGCATTACATAGTATTCGGGTAGTTGAAATTATATTTCAAGTAAAACAACTTTAAATGTACAATACTTCTTTTTGTACAGTCCCTCTTTATAATTATTTAACACATTCAGTTTTAAGAGCCCATATTAATTGATCAAATAATTATATTTCTGTGTGTGTATTCCACACACACACACACAAAAAAAATCAAGCACCACAACAGGTTTCAACTTTGATAATAATAAGAAATGTTTTGAGCAGCAAATCAGAATAGAATGATTTCTAAATGATCATTTGACACTGTTAATGGCTGCTGAAAATTCAACTTAGACTTTACAGGAATAAATTACATTTTAAAATATACTAAAAGAGAAATTAGTCATTGTAAGAATTTAAACACTTGTAAAAAATCGTACCAACCCCAAATGAACAGTGTGTATACTGTATAATATATATATATATATATATATATATATATATATATATATATATATATATATATATATATATATATATATATATATATATAATTATTCATACATGTACACAAAAAAAAAATCCATTTGTCATCTAAGATTTGAGTCACAGTGTCCTCACAATTATAATATTAAATTATATATTATAACTATACATATTTTAGATGTTTTCTTGCTTTAACTGTATCTTACAAACATTCACCTTATATTTAAGGTTTAAAATCCCACCCAACAGGTTTCCCTTTAACCAATCTCATATTACAGCCTGGCCAATGCAATGAATTAGTTTCAGCTGTTCTCAAAGTCACTATTGTAAGCAATATGCAAAACAGTCTTTAAACAAATTTTACACGTTAATGCTCTGGCACTAGTACAGTGTATAAAAGTCCGTTTTAAAATACACTTACAGCTTCCAGGTTCTTCTTAAACTGAGAGTCATTCCTCAGTAAGAGAGGATCAGTTCTGCTGCTCCTGTGATCTTCAAGAACTTTACTTATGAGACCCTTAACAGGCGGACTCTCATCCACCACCTCGTCCATGTCCGGGACAATTCAGCACAGGTTGGAGGACGAAAGCTCAGACTCCCACATAGAAATCAATGACGGATGTTTATCAACAGGTGTGCAAATGAAATCAATAGATCGTCTGACTACAACCAGTAAAAGCGCATTACATGTTTACAGACTCCATACATCGTGACAATGGTAGACACGTGAGTCAACATAACGTTAGGTGCGGAGTTGAAAAAGGTATGTCACGTGACTTGAGTGGGCTGTACCTATGAGATCACTGATTACACGAGCTACTATAAAAACCTGATCTAGAGTAGGCATCGTGACATGAAGTAGGTACTTTAATAACCATCATCATATGTTATTAGACCTACTATCTCCATTTCGCAGTATGCATGTTGTGTATGACTGATCATTAGCGATGAAGATTTAAATGAAAAATATAATTAATAAATAATTAAATGTTTCATATTTAATAAAAGGAGTGAATGCGGAAGGTCTGGTGGTTTTAAGCAGAATACTTGAATCGCGCGCGCGACACTTACACTACCTACATTATTTATTTACGGTGTGAAACGTAAAATATACGAATTCTACATTATTTCTGTCTGTCTTCGACTTGAAAACAAATAAATAAATGACAATGCGTTTATTAATCAATCAGAGAAGGGAATAAATGGTCGTTTTGTGTGCCCACATGCGCAGCAAAAAGATTCGAACGTTTCTCTGAGCGTGACCATAGAGTATAGGCCTACGACTGTTCTGTAAATTGTGACATCACAGAGATGCGTGAAGGCAAGTCTTGCAACTCTCATTTTGCTCAATCTGCAGCTAAATCACGATAGCGATGGGTCAACGTAGCTCTCGTTGCAAAGATGCAGAAAAAGACTTTGGAAATGTGCATTTCCATGGTTCACCGCCGAAATCTTTTACCAGTTTGGTGGAAGCCCACCCACATCCAGTTCGTGTTGGAGAAGAGAATGTGAATGGGGGAAAGAAGAAAACGAGGAAGGAGGACACCTCTAAAAAGAAAAAGAGGTTCAGGTTGTGGAGGTGGACCTTTTGTTGGAGAGCTGGTCAAAAATACAGCAGGAAGACCAGCTCAACTCAGTGTGAGGAAAAGGCTCAAGACACTGATGCAGAAGTACCACCTGGAAGAATTCCTGATGGTAAGTGGCATGACCACGTTTTAAGAGAGAATCTAAAAGGCTCCAAAAAATTAACTAATAATTAACTGATTAGACGCTGACTATGCAATTAATAATTCATGTTATTTGATTTTAACATCTTTCCTCTCTTTAGTTCAGAGTTTTCAACAGCAAGTCATCTGTAGTGTAGAGAATCAAAATCATCAGGAACCTTCAACCAGTGATCCTGAAATCCTTCAAGCAGCGGAAGAACACCTTGCTGTTCACCCTGATGCTGATGTCCTCCAATCTCTAGTATGCTGCTACAATGTCTCTCAGACTTCAGTAGACACTGCATCAAACTGGAGTGCTGACATCACCCAGGCTCCAGTCCTTCACACCGTGTCCAACTGGAGCATCGATGCCGGCCTGATCTTCACTGCATCGAACTGTTGTGATGATGTCGCCCAGACTCTAGTTCACACCACATCTGACTGGAGCTTTGATGCCTACCTGACTCCAGCATGCACCACGTCAGACTGTAGCATTGACGTCACCAAGACTCCAGCACACACTGCATCAAACTGGAGCACAGGCGTCTTCCAGACTCCAGCACGAACAGCGTCAGGCTGGAGCACTAACATCACCCAGACTCCAGTACGCACCGTGTCAGACTGGAGTACTGACGTCACCCAGACTGTAGCACGCACAGCGTCAGACTGGAGCATCGATGCCGGCCTGACTCCAGCATGCACCACATCAGACTGTAGCATTGACGTCACCAAGACTCCAACACACACTGCATCAAACTGGAGCACAGGCGTCTTCCAGACTCCAGCACGAACAGCGTCAGGCTGGAGCACTAACATCACCCAGACTCCAGTACGCACCGTGTCAGACTGGAGTACTGACGTCACCCAGACTGTAGCACGCACAGCGTCAGACTGGAGCATCGATGCCGGCCTGACTCCAGCACGAACAGCGTCAGACTACATCATCCAGACTCCAGCACGCACCACGTCAGACTGGAGTGCTGACATCCCCCAGACTCCAGTCCGTCGCACCCCTTCTGACTGGAGCATCGATGCCACCCTGGCTCAAATACACGCCACTTTTGATTGGAACGCCAATGTCTCCCAGACTCCAGTATGCACCACTTCTGATTGGAACGCCAATGTCACCCAGACTCCAGTACGCACCGCGTCAGACTGGAGCATCGGTGTTGGCCAAACACTAGTTAGTCCCACGGAGGGTCTTGTTTCACCTCTGACAAGACAACTGGAGAATAATGAAAAGAAAACTGTAGGTAAGTGTACTGCCACAATAATACAACACGCACACACACACACACACACACACTTTTTATACTAGATCAATCCATTTTAATATCACTTGTTAATTATTTAAACAAGAATTGGAAATATGCTGTTTAAAATAGTTGTCTGATGATATAAAGCGTCACCCTGCTGGACACTGCACCAGTGCATGATATTTCATGAAAAACTAATCTTATTTAATAGTCATCAATTCCCGCTACTATGTGATCGGCGACAAGCTGGGTGAAGGGACCTTTGGAGCTGTCTATGAGGGAAGTCGACTGCTGGATGGCTTTAAGGTTCCTTTTTTACTTACAATATCTAGCTAGCAGATTGATCATCTGGATTTTATTAATATTACCTGTAGATTTATATTTATTGTAAATCATTTTTCGACAAATCTCGGTTTATTGTTTTGTTTATTAGGTGGCAGTGAAAATTGTCACAAAGACTGAGGATTTCGAATACATCAGTATTGTAAGTAGGCTGTGCTCTCAGTTTTTCTCTGCTGTCTTTTCAATTTAACCCTTTAAGTGTCTCCCCTTAAAGGGTCCCCTCTCGATTTTTCACGTTCATCGCTATTTCAAAATAAAGGTCTGAACACGCCTTAGGAGTATGAAAATATGAAAACTAGAGATTGTAAGCTTTCAAATGATATATAGTTTGTCAAGATTAGTTTAGGTTTAGTATAGAATATTACTATTTTAAATATGTAATGGCTGTGGGCCCACCGGTGGGCCGGAGACACTTCATCTCATATTACTATAGCTGATTTTTCAATAGACAAATTTGTGGCCTAATTAGGGAAACCACATCCATCTAACCAAAATAAAAATTGTATTTCCTCTAGCCATGTCATTCCAAGCCCCTCCCACTAGAGGTTGCACTGCTCATCCTCGCCAACAGAGGCCCCAGTGTTCCAGAAATAATCCAGCTACTGGACTGGCAGGACCAGAATGACTATTATATTGTGGTGCTGGAACGCCCCTCACCCTGCGAGGACCTGTTTGGTTTCACGGAACGCCACGGAGGCAGCATTGATGAAGGTTTAGCTTGTGTCGTCATGCGGCAGGCAACACAAGCTGCCTACATGTGTTGCCTCCGTGGCGTTTTACACCGCGATATCAAACTTGAAAATCTGTTGATCAATAAGAAGACCCATGAAGTCAAGCTAATTGACTTTGGGTGTGGCGACCTCCTTAAGAAATCAGCCTACAATATATTCAATGGTATGTATTTTCCCTCTAGCTATAAAATGGGAACCACTGTTGGGAATAATATACGTATCACCAAATGCGAATGGATGCCTAAAAAAAAATCTGCTGTGGTAATGCAAATCTCTTTCCTCCAGGCACTGATCAATACTGCCCCCCGGAGTATGAAGAGAAGGGCGAGTACAATGGGAAGCCAGCGACTGTCTGGTCCCTTGGTGTTCTACTGTTTGCATTGGTGTGCGGGGACTATCCCAACACTGATGACCTGCGCATGATTAATTCGAACAACTATTCCAAAGCTGGCTTGTCAGAAGGTGAACTCTTAATCTCAATGAAGAAAGCAAATTGTAATTGTAAATCATACAAAACAAAACAAAAATTCATGACAGGAAAAAAAAAACAGCTAGTGAGATACTTAAGAATAACATGATTAAAGAGCAGGATTGAAGATCAAGGTAATAATCAATATTTCTTCCATCTTTTTCACAGAATGCTGCCATTTGATTAGTTATTGTCTCCAGCGAGAGCCAGAGCAGCGACTTCGATTAACCGAGATTCTTCTCCACGACTGGTTCAAGGTACTGTACTAAGCTTACATTTGTTTTGTAAAGAGTTTTAAAGTCTTTTTTTGAGGTTTGACTATAAGACTACGGACATTAGCTTAGAGAATGTTATGATTTCTTCTGATTCACTTCTGAAAAACTGATTACTGTTTTTGTTTTAGGTCACAGATTTGGAGAAACCTGAAAACAGTATAAAGAAAAGGACAGGAACCCCTGGAGTGGCTCTTCAGTCGTGAGCTCCTGCCTCGCCCCCCCCCCTGCCCCAGCCCAGAGCTCCCTATCATGGCCACCCCAGAGGATCTTGTCAAGTCAACAAGCAAGGCGACTTCCCCCCAAAGCATAGATCACTATCTTGGGCTTCCTGGGAATTAGAGGTCTGTGTCACCCTAGAGCTCTATAACTGAGCTGCCTATTCTAAACCACCACAGTCCCACCCTTGTAGAGCTCCCTGCATAGTCCCATAGGTCACTGACCCTGCCCATAGGTTCCTTTAGCAGACTTAACAAGAGTCCAAGCCAAAGTCGGTATCCAAAGCTGGCTCCTTGTCTTGGTCTGTTTGTGTCCCTAAGTTTCCACCCAAGATGTCCTGTTATGGCCACCTCAGATGTTCATGGCATGGCACAACGGTTGCCAATACCACAGACGGATTGGTCCCCAAGGACCTGTTCCTGCCACTAGGTTCCTATTATGGACCTAGCCAAAGCCATGCCCATGGTATCCTCAATCCCAGAGCTTCCTGTCTCTGGTTGTCTCAGGCCACCCTTGTCAAAGTGGTTCCTGCCACTCAGATGTTAGTGTCCGAACGGCCTCGTACTTTCCTGTCACTGCCACCTAAGCTCTATAACTGAGCTGCCTATCCTAAACCACCACAGTCCCACCTTTGCAGAGCTCCCTGCATAGTCCCATAGGTCACTGACCCTGCCCATAGGTTCCTTTAGCAGACTTAACAAGAGTCCAAGCCAAAGTCGGTATCCAAAGCTGGCTCCTTGTCTTGGTCTGTTTGTGTCCCTAAGTTTCCACCCAAGATGTCTTGTTATGGCCACCTTAGATGTTCATGGCATGGCACAACGGTTGGTAATACCACAGACGGATTGGTCCCCAAGGACCTGTTCCTGCCACTAGGTTCCTATTATGGACCTAGCCAAAGCCATGCCCATGGTATCCTCAATCCCAGAGCTTCCTGTCTCTGGTTGTCTCAGGCCACCCTTGTCAAAGTGGTTCCTGCCACTCAGATGTTAGTGTCCGAATGGCCTCGTACTTTCCTGTCACTGCCACCTAAGCTCTATAACTGAGCTGCCTATCCTAAACCACCACAGTCCCACCTTTGCAGAGCTCCCTGCATAGTCCCATAGGTCACTGACCCTGCCCATAGGTTCCTTTAGCAGACTTAACAAGAGTCCAAGCCAAAGTCGGTATCCAAAGCTGGCTCCTTGTCTTGGTCTGTTTGTGTCCCTAAGTTTCCACCCAAGATGTCCTGTTATGGCCACCTTAGATGTTCATGGCATGGCACAACGGTTGGTAATACCACAGACGGATTAAGCTCTCCACCTAAGCTCTATAACTGAGCTGCCTATCCTAAACCACCACAGTCCCACCTTTGCAGAGCACCCTGCATAGTCCCATAGGTCACTGTCACTGCCCATAGTTTCCTTTCATGGACTTAACAAGAGCCCAAGGCCTTCCCTGTCCAATCATTGCCATCTTCTAAGCCGGTGCCCAAAGATGCCTCAGTCATCTCCCTGTCTTCAGCTGCCATTGGCCAGCCTTGGTCTCCATTCGAAATAAACAATAAACATAATATGCATGATATAAACTGACCTTGTTCATGGTGACAGTATTATTGGTAATCTACTGAATGTAAGGATTAGTTTACAGAGGTAAGTCCAAGTTTAATGAGGCTTTACAATACACACATGTAGAGGAAGTCAACAAAACAAACCTTCTGGGTTAGGCTCTGATTATTTTTGAGTATAACCTGCAATTTTATACTTTTAACTGACATCACATTGTAATATTATTCCAAAGCCAGTCCCACTCTGGATATGCATATTAGGTAAAACGAGATACAGTTCTAGTTTGAAATAATTGAGAAATGGTACAATCAAACTTAGTAATAATTAAGTAACTATAATTTGTGTGAATAAGTGTAATTTTTGTAGGAGGTTTTTTAACCTCTTAGGCAAAAAGGTGGTTGTCATTTTAGTAATGTATTAAGCTGTAAATATTGATCAATTGCATTTAATATTTTGGCTTTGATCATCATGCATGTGAATCTTCTTGTTTGCAGTCTTTAGTGACATCTGGTGGAGAGGGACACCAGAAATTAGGTCATTTTGGGTAAATATCACAATTCCATCCAAAGTAAATTCCTTAAAAACGTCTGTCCTAGAAAACTTTTTTGTTTTATTTGCAATCTCTGGACTACTACGCACCCTAAAATTACCAAAATGACATTTTTTCATACATTGACGTCATTGTACACATAAATAGCATTTTCAATGTATTTTTGAATGGATTAATAGATCAGGCTACATTTTAAGTGATGCAACTGATCACTATTTCTTTTTTAAAAATTCACTATTTTTAGACTTTTTTTGCATTTCACTGAAATATTTATATGGTGTGATAAATCACTCCTAAAATAAGGTCATGAAAACTGTATGTACAGCCTAATAATTATTAAAAAATTAATTTTCCATAGATGAAGTATATATTTCAACAAAACACTGCTCAGTTAATCCAAGGCATTCCTTCTGAAAGCACTTTTATTGGTTGTCACTAACTGTCTGACACTTAAAGGGTCCTCAAACAACATTTAACATAACATCAGCAATAAAAATAATCTGTGAAATAAAATGGATTTCATAATCCATAAAATAGGTTATTAACACAAATGAAACGGATGCAATGCTGTCTGTGTACTGTACATGTATGTTAACTATTACTTCTGTAGTTATCGTCAACAAATAAGTTCAAGCTAGAGTTCAGAACATAACAGTTAAGTGCTGAGGTATAAGATTCTGTCTTCATCTATTATGAACTCAAAAACACTCAGTTAAAGTAGTCAGTTAAAAGACCTTGACATGATACTTATATAAACAGGGAAGCAATACATAAAGTCCATAGTCTTGTTAAAACTCACTAATTTTTCACTTGAAAAGTTAGGGATAAAGCTAAAAGATTAATCAGTCAGCCAAAAGCACAAATAAAAAAAATAAAAAAAGCTATTCCCCTTATAAGCTGTAAAAAGCAGCTTCTGTCTGTTGGACGAGATTTGTAGTGTGTGTGTGTGTGTGTGTATGCTTTATTCTAAAAGTAGTCTTGGGGGGAAAAATACATTTTACTGGCGTTTTATAAAAAACAAGTGGCAGCGTGCTGTTTCTGGTTAGCTGCCAAATGTGAGAAGATTTACAAAAAAGGGTTTGCTTAGCTAATAATCCATGAAAACATGTTGTGTCAGCTATGTTCTTGTTGTAATTATGTGCGTTTTAAGACACTTATTAACTTTCAGGAGACCTTGGCTCTCTAACTATGATGCTATTTCTTTTGACTGTCAACAGGAGGCGCTGGTTCCTGATTATGTTCACCTGAGTACTGCGCTGCTGCCAAACCCTTTCCAGTTTCAAGAGCTCACGGCGACAGCTTTTTTCAATATACAATGGATATAGTGAGTTTTGTGTAAGTGCAACTTAACACACGTCACAGCGCAGGAATATAGAAACATTCACAAACTGGTGAGCAAGAGAGAAATTTGTGTTGCTTATGTGTTTGTACGTGGTTTCCTTTTGGCTTTCCTGGCGTACAGGAAGTACATGGTGTGTCCCGTGAAAATGAACAGGACGGAGATGATGACAAGGATGCCGAAGTGTTGTGGCTGGGGTGCAGAGATGACCATGAGGAAGTGCAGCAGGTCCATCAGGTAGTTCATAGAACTCTGGACTCCATTCACCACCCCACGCTCTGATTCACTTATGGTCTCCTGCAAGAGCTGAGTCACTGTCAGGTCGAAGGACCAGAGACCTGTAAAACATCGGACACATTATATATTACTGTGGGTTACACTTCAAGGTGATAATATATCAATTATATCTTGTAATAAATAAATATCTTGTAATACAATCAATGGTACAAAAAGTAATCAGATTACAGTTACATCTTGTAAAAAATGTGAAGATTATCTGGATGGTTTCAATTAAAATGAAATAAATTAGTATCTTGACATAATAGCGGTATATTGACAGTAGTGATGCGCAGATCGCGGTAATATAAGGAGACTGCAGATAATCCACGGGGCGGGCGGGGCAAGTAATAAAAAAATAACAGTCTAATTAATGTCGGATGGGTCGATGAGCGATGAATCATTAATGTAGTGGAACGCTCATTTACCGAGAAAACGCTACGAACGTGCGTCACTCTTTTACATTCGTTTTCAATAACAACATACAGTATGGCTGCGTCCGAAAACCTAGGCAGCTGACTTGTTGCCTCGCTGCCCTATCAGGCAATGACTTTGCAGGCAGCGTCTGCGCACGAAGGTACCTCACGAAACTGATCGGTCTTTGTCAGGTGACGTCACACTCGTGATACACGAAGTGCATTATGGGACGTAGCCGCCATTTGTAAGGTATCGATGCAGCGGTATTCTGTTGTTGGAGAATTGTGTTTTTCATTATTTTTTAAAACTAAACCATCCTTAACATGACATTATCATCATCATCAATACAGCAAACCTGTCTTTGCTGTTACTACTGTGTCCTTCGGTGGGAATGTAAATAAATCCTGTACTCAGCCGTTGGTAAAATGTCCGTGGGTTTTAAGAGATTTATAGTTTTTAAATTGTTCACTGGTATATGCGCTTATACCATAAACAAGATAGTTGACAATGTCCCAGTATGAGGATGAGAAAGCAATGCGGGATCAGCACTCCAATTTACTGCAGTCAGCTCATATATGGATCTATGTTTTGAATGGATGACAATTTCTCCAAATAACGGTACCTGCCATATTTATCGAGTTTATTGCGGTACGGCATTTCCTAGGTTTTCTTGTGCTTCTCCAGTTTTGCGAGTTATTTACTTGTTATCTCTACTCTTGTAATCTCTTCAATGCTCACAGTCAGTAGCGATACCTCAAAAATGGCGCCTGCGGTGACGTCACACACAACAAACCCACGTGTCTGACAAAGACCGATTTGTGAATATTTAATGACTACAATAGTAATTTCTCGCTAGAAATGACATCATAAGTGGAAAACGTTTATCAAAAATGTACATTCACGCACGAACTGACCACCAGTCGCAACTTTCAGACGCTCAACTGTCACAGAATGGAAAGCACAGGATTGTGGGATATCATCAAAGGCAGCGAAGGAAAGAACTATGCTGCCTTTAAAAAATCGATCAAATGAAGGTATCTCAGGAGACAGGAAGTGAAACGAACATTGCATTCGGACGTGCCTTGAAGCCTTCCTACCTTGTAGTGCGTCCTCCAAATGCAGGATTTATCAGTTTTCGGACGCAGCCAATATCTCTTCAAGGAAAACCAATCAATGAAGAAATATGCCTAGAGCACCTTTTAGTGGTCATTATATAAAACACAAAGGAAAAAACTACTACAGTATTATATTATAACAATAATTTTCCAACAAAATGATGGAAACATTAACGTGTTTAAAACTTAAATTAACTGCGAATTCAGTTGACGTTAGAACTGATCCGCGCATCTCTGGTTCTGTTGCCGAGTCATGGCTCATGTGAGCCACCTACTGGTTCATGCGCAATCGTTCTCCTAAATATTGATTTTTACTTTACTTTATTTACATGTGACCTTGAAGGAATCCAATAGTAATCAGATTACATTATTTTCATATTGTGGTGCTTGGACACGTTACACGATATTTTTTTTATGAAGTAATTTGTAACTATAAGGAAGTACATTTTTAAAGTAACCTTCCCAACTCTGCTTATAAAGCATAAATTAATGCCATATTCTGCACGACAATATTCTACATCCCTTAATCCTACCCAATACCTAAACTTAACAACTACCTTACTAACTATTAATGAGCAGTAATTGGGAGTTTGCTGAGGCAAAAGTTATCTCTATTTTATATTTCATTACTCCTGCATGTTTCTGCATGTTGGTCGGACCACATGACTTTGATTTTGCATGTGCAGACAAAAGTTTTTCAAATATTAATAAGCAATTAAATGGTTAAGAAATAAAAAAAAAGATTATGCCAAATACTTAAAAATGTTAAGAATTAACTATTTTAATAAAAACACAAATCATTCTTTTAAATGAATGAATTAAATAAAAGTAATTTAAATACAGGAAATGAATAACACCACATTTATCTATAGAAAAATATATTTAAAATGTACACTATTGTTGAAAAGTTTTGGGTCAGAAAGATTAGAGTATTACAGTTTGCACAAATATATTAAGCAGCACAACTGTTTCATGTTTCTTGAGCAGCAAATCATCATATTAGACTCATTTCTGAAGGATCATGTGACACTGAAGACTGGAGTAATGATGCTGAAAATTCAGCTTTGCCATCGCAGGAATAAATTATATTTTAAAATATATTAAGATCGAAAACAGTTATTTTAGATTGTAATAACATTTCACAGTATAACTGTTTTTACTGTGTTTTTGATCAAATAAATGCATCTTTGGTGGGCATTAAGAAAAAAACATTGCAAAATCTTACCGACCCCAAATGTCTTATTTTTAATTAATAGATAGGATAAAGCCGCCATCTACTCACCGACTCGAGCTGTAATGACTCCAAGGAACAGCAGGATGATGGAGATGTAAGACTCAGGTTCTGTCCCTGCTGGGGCGTTCTCAAACAACAGAGTGTTATTGGTCCAGTGAATAGAGGAACGGTCCGGCAGCAGAGGCTGGTTGCGTCCTCCACGCAGTGGGTATCCGTGCCTCTGGTGACCTCCGGTCATTCCTCCCACGTTCGACGCATTCCCCAAATTTAGTATGCTGAGGTCCATGGGGCTACCGGGGGCAAACACGGAGCACACACAAAGCAACAGGCAAACTAGGTGCAGGCCGCTAGAAATGACCCCAGTGTTGACCAGGCCACATGTTTTCCGCAGCTTGGTGAATAGGACAGTACCCAGAAGCCCCGCCACTGCCGACACACCCATCAGAATGCTGAGCAGCGAGCCGCTGACGCCCTGGGTGTACGCGTAGCCTGTGGTGATGCAGTCGAAGCCCAGCACTGTGGTGTAGAGGAAGGCCAAGCCCAGGCCGGCGAGGAAAACAGGCTGTCTGTAATATGCCCTCCACCCTTCCCGACAGGTGCTGAGGAGTCCCCGCAGCCGATGGAGGCACACTGGGATTCGGCTGATTTCTTCTAAACGCAGGGTGCTGGTGCTCTCCTCTGAGGGGGCTCCAGTGGTACTTGCTGAGGTCCAGCCTGAACAAAAGAGGAGGGATTTGGTAAACATGCAGTGTTATTCTTTCTTTCTATCTTTCTTCAGTATCTATCTATCATCTTTTAATTGTTCTGTCTCTCTGTCTGTTGTGCATACCTTTGTACTATCCATCTGTCTGTCATTCATTTGTTTGTTCTATCTATCTGCCTGTCTGTTCTTCATTCATTCATTTGTTCTATCTATCTGTCTGTCGTTCTATCTATCTATCTATCTGTCATTTGTTCTATCTATCTATGTCTGTCGTTCATTCATTTGTTCTTTCTATCTGTCTGTGTTGTTCGTTTATTCATTTGTTCTGTCTATCGTTCCATCGTTCTATCTTGTTTTTTGTGTCTGTCTGTCGTTCATTTGTTTGTTCTATCTATCTATCTGTCTGTATGTTGTTCGTTCATTAATTTGTTCTATCTGTCTGTCGTTCTATCTATCTGACCATCCGTCTATCTATCTCTATCTATCTATCTATCTATCTATCTATCTATCTATCTATTTATCTATCATTTGTTCTATCTATATGTCTGTCGTTCATTTGTTTTTTTCTATCTATCTATCTATCTATCTATCTGTCTGTCGTTCATTCTTTTGTTCTATCTATCTCTCTTGTTGTTCGTTTGTTAATTCTATCAATCTATCTGTCGTTTGTTCTGTCTGTCATTCATTTGTTTGTTCTATCTATCTGACTGTCTGTTTGTTCATTTATTTGTTCTATCTATCTTTCTATCATCTGTATGTCTGTCTGTTTGTCAATTCTGACTAGCAAATAACACATTTCTACAATGGCATCGGCAACCGAAAACTTCTGTATGATGTTATATCCACACCACTAGGTGTCAGTATAAGGAAATATCTGCAATATCAACTATAAAATAAACACCACACTACTGAGAGCAGCTTAAATTCTACATTATATTTCAAACATGGGGGGGATAGAATCTTTTGTGCACTTGTTTATGCTAAAAAATGTTTACCTTGTGCACATTTTCTTTCTCTTTTCTTCTCTAAATAGCTTTGCTGTTCCAATGCTGGTGGTTTGACGGACAGAGCCGGTACGATACGGTAGACTCTGGAGAGGAAGACGAACTCCACAATGAGGGACACCAGATTCCATCCTAAGATGAAGCCACAACCAACTACATTCGAGGCCAGGGTCATCACCTGACCCACCGCCAGAGGAGCCAGGATGTTGGTCACCTGATCGATCCGCCTCATTGTTGCATTCATTCCTGTATCAGGAGGAAATCAAAATTCAAAATGTATTTGTGTGCAATGTATTTGTATGCTTATTAGATTATTGCACTGTTATTTTAGCAACATGCTAACAGTAAACTTTACTAAAATCAATTGAGTTGTTTCTCCTGTGTGTTTTTTTTTGTGCAGCATGTGGAATTACTCCCTCATTCATGAAGTTAGAAAGTAGCTGCCTATGTACTTGGTTTTGACAGAGCTAAGTCTGTCAAATAAGATGCAAATTGTATTTGCATGCACATCAGCAACATACTCATCAGAAATGGCATAAACAGAAACGTCCCTTTTTCAGGAAACAGTTTTTTAAAGATAATTTTGTAAAAATCCATGCAAAATAAGCTTTACAGATCTTTATTGGAAAGGGTTTAAACTATGGTTTCCATGCTTGCTTAACGCTACCATTATTGTACATGCACCTGTGCAACAGTTCTTAAGACACTTTAGAAACAGTTTACAGGTGGTAGACAATTAAGGTCAGACACAAAAACGTCGGACACTAAAGAGACCTTTCTACTGACTCTGAAAAACATCAGGACAAAGATGGCCAGGATCACCTGCATGAACAAACAATAGGCCTGCTGCAGGGAGGCATGAGAACAGCAGATGTGGCCAGAGTAATAATGTACATGATGTAAGTCGCCTAAGTGCTACAGGGAGAAAGGAAGGACAGCTGATAGGCTTCTGCAGTGCCAAATCATGTGTAACCCCATATGTTCCCCCAGATGTATTGGAGTGGAAGAGTGGGATACAATCTCACGGCAAGTATATTATATTTAAACACGTTAAGAAATTTGCTGGAAAAAGGCAGATAAAAGTGAGAGGATGTTTCCTTTTGCTGTGTTTATTTGACGTGTTCGACTGATTAAATGTTAAAACAGTAACACCTATATGATTTCCAATACACAGATTAGCATTATGCTAACAGAAATAAAGGTCATACCTGCGAGGTGACCACGGTTGTAACCTGTGATCACCACTATCCAATCCCTCTGGATGGCAATGGTGAGAGCTGTGCTGGCGAGGTTCGCCACATCTGCCAGGACGATCACCACCGTATAACAAACCACCTTGTGTGAGTTGTGTGATGCAACAAGTTACTATGCTATGTCATAACAGTAGGAATGCTTATGTTCTGCAATGGCTAACCAGAAACATAAGGCACACAAGGCTATGCTGAACACATGATTGCTTCTGAATGGGCAGATATTAATAATAACACATTTTGGGGTACAATGTAAGAGGGACTTACAGTTAGCCACCCATCCCAGATTTCCTCAATCCATTTTTTGTATGAGAACACCAACATGAGTACAATGCTGCAGACGGTCACTGAGATATTCTGAATGAACAGGGATGCGTGGGCCACTGTAGAGAGAGATAGAAAGGAAATTATGTTACTTAAAATAATAGAAAAATACTTTAATGACATGAAAAAAAATGGCTCCATAAAGAAAAAGCTTGTTTTGAGGACCTTTATTATTATTAGGGCCCAAACCCTGAAAGGATGAAAGCCCTATTGTTTTCCATATGGATTATCCCTCTTATTCTTTTTCGTCAAGGTTTCGGGGGCTTTTGGGGCCCTTAACATGCTCAAAAACTCAAAATTTGCACACAGGTCGGAATCCGCGGCCATTAGGTCTGGGTCAAATCTGGTACATGGGCATGGCAGGGTGTCTCTACAGCGCCCCCTTGAATGGAAATCACCCTCTTATTTTTACCCAATTTCCTTTAAACTTTGTCAGAATAATGGCAAGACATAACAGATATAGACCTGCAAAATGAACTCTTGATATCTTAAATACTGTTGCCATGGCAACGCATCAAACTTTGATAATCTTTTTAGGTGTTTTTGAGGCTCTTAGCATGCTTCAAATTGCATGAAACTCGACACATCAGAGTTGTCGGCAATTAGACACTGGCAAAGCCTTAGAAATGGGCATGGAGAGAGATCTCTGTAGCACAACCTTTTGACAAAAGTGGGGGTTAGTTTTACCTAAAGTCACCAAACTCAGTATATTGTTCTCATCAACCCGGGCAACTTTCTAATTTACAGTCATTAGCTTCGACCAACAGGAAGTCAGCTATTTTGGTTTGAATGTGTTTTTTTGTTGTTGTTTTTAAATCAGGCTCTGAATTTTTAACTACTCCTCCTGGGGGATTATATGATACACTCCAAACCTTTTCAACATGATGCCAATAATACATAGAAGATGCTAAATTGTGAACGGATATTGGATATCTTGTGCGGTGTTGCCATGGTGAGGGATTAAAGTAATGACAAAAAATGGAAACAGTAAGAGTCTCTTTTCTTCTCAACAATAAATTATACAACATTTATTTCTATATAAAATAATATATATATATATATATATATATATATATATATAGATAGATATATATAGATATATAGATAGATAAAAAAAAAACACATTTTATCCTTTTTTTTCAATTAGTGCATGATGTGTAAGTTACAATTGGCAGATTAGTGCTATCTGGTTGAAAAAATCAAAAATCTAATTTAATACTGTACATAGTTTAACCACTTATGAGACTTAAATGGCAACATATGCCTATTTTTACAGTTTTTTACAATCACTTTGTTACTATTTTCAGAACCTTGATGTCATTTTTCACAACTCTAGACACAAAACTCACAACCAATGATCAAAAAGCACATTTTTCAAAACTCTAACCCTTTTCTCAATTGCTTGGATACAATACACATAAAACTTAGATCATTTGTTCATTCAACAAAGATCACCTGTTCAATATGACACAACTTAACATCAAAGTACTACTATTTCAAAAGGCAATTCACACATTACATTTCAAATGAGTGTCTATTCATTTCCTTACAATGATCTAACTATCAATTGTGACAACTGCTCAAAATGATAAGTAACTGTTGCATTACTCTTAATGCATAGTTGTATGGAAACAGACACACAATCTTCCATGTTTACAGTAAATCATGAAAGTTTCAAGATAATGAGATTCATTGTCACCAATTAGCATGGCATGAACCAATTAGACTACAATATCCATGGATGTAGCCTAATATTTTATCATACTGTAATGCTTCATCAGACACTGTGTCTATGGTGCCAAATACTGTACCACCTTTTCAGACTATGTACAGTATTGACAGTACAGTACTGTATAGATGCAGGCCCTTGTAACTGCGTGTCCAATTCTGCCAATCACAGCAGAGCAGTGTCAGGCCTGGACTCGCCATGCCAAAGGTTTTTTCCAAGATGTCATTTTCCAACATCCATTGTGATGTAGATGAGAACCTGTGGCCAAATCCACAACACAGAGTTGATGACAGTGTAGAAGTACAGTAATCACTCCTGTTTAGTTTCTTACAGCAAGTTGAGGAACACTGCATTTGATGTTTTACAGTACTGTCTTTTCTTTTCTATTTCATAGCTAATTATTTTTGCTTTGATTCAAAAAACCATGTTGTGATTGTACTGTAGTGTTTTGCATCAATATATTACAAACTTTGTTCACAATGATTCCACTGTGTCTGTAATATTCTCTCTACTACTGCAGTACTTTTACAGAGATGTATTTACTGTACATGTAGTACCATAATGAAACCTGTATCACCTATTTTGCTCTACAATAATGATTGTACGAACAATGACACAGTGAAACTATCGGTTGCTTGTGTGTGGGTGATCTATAGTTATGTTTCAATGGTATTTCACAGTTAATTTGTTTTTTGAACCAATGATTGTGCAAGTGCAAGATTTCTTTAAAGATGTGAATGCACAATGCAATGTTTTGAACATTAGACAGCCTGTGTTACAAGTGATTATCGTTTTGAGTTTTGTGTCTAGAGTTTTGAAAAATGACATCAAGGTTCTGAAAATAGTAGCAAAGTGATTGTAAAAAACTGTAAACAGGGTTGAGAAATTGAGAACTTGCTGAGAACAGTGTTTGCTGATAACTGTTTTCAGGTATAAATCATTTTAGTAGGTATTGTATTAGGATGTATATTTAGACATTATCAAAGTCTATTTTCTGTAACAGTTTAGATTTATTTTGTTTAAAATGTTAAATCTTCTGACTCAACTGGTAAAAAGTCTGTGTGTGTGTGTGTGTGTGTGTGTGTGTGTGTGTGTGTGTGTGTGTGTGTGTGTGTGTGTGTGTGTGTGTGTGTGTGTGTGTGTGTGTGTGTGTGTGTGTGTGTGTGTGTGTGTGTGTGTGTGTGTGTGTGTGTGTGTGTGTGTGTTTGAAACCCATTCATTGTTGTGTGCTTTGGCCCGCGTTAAAGGATAAGAAATATCTTGGGCTTTGTCTATTTCAATAAGTTTGAATAATAAATCAAGGCATAGAGCCAGTTAATTTGTTGGGCACTGACAACATAGTTTTATAGATTAAAAAATAGGTTAATAAAAATATAAAAAAGACCTTGAGATAAATACTGGACTTCTGGACAAATCATGTTGCACTCATTTGAAAGTGACCTATGACATAAAATGAATCTAAATAAATGATCTCATGGATGTGGCTGTTGTGGTTCGTGGTCATAGTGGCACCAGCTGCTGCAGTAAATGTTGCTTATTCAGTTGACTTTGACATAGTCCTTTTACATTTACCTGGTTTAAATGCATATTGCCCATCGTGCACAGTTGCTCTAAGGCCACCAATGTGGCGGTGGCACCGAGGCTTGGGCCCGTCATCGCTGCTTGCAGCTATGTTTAGGGCCCAAGCCTTGAAAAGGCGAAGGCCCTATTGTTTTCCTAAGGATTATTTATTATTATTATTCTTTTTCTGTCAACCTTTCGGGCACTTTTGGGGCTCTTAACGTGCTCGAAAACTCATGAAACTTTGCACACGGGTCAGAACCCGCGGCCATCAGGGCCGGGCTGAAGCTGGTACCCGGGCGTGGCAGGGGGGCTCGACAGCGCCCCCTGGAACAGTCCGAAAACTGCTCCGAAAACTGGGTCTATAAATCAAACACGCTTGCATGTAATAATTTGAAACTCGGTACACATATAGATCTCATCGGTTCATATATCCTTCGTGCATTTACTTTTTGCGCCACCAACTGGCAGCAGGAAGTGTGTCACTTTCAAAATGCTTTGAAAGCACCCTCTTATTTTTACCCCATTTGCTTCAAACTTCACTACTATAATGTAAACACACGCCAAATGTAGACCTGTGAATGGATTCTTGATATCTTAGATACTGTTGCCATGGCAACGCATCAAACTTTAATATTCTTTTTTTATGCTTTTGAGACTCTTAGCATGCCTGAAATTGCTTGAAATTGCATGAAACTCGACAGACAGATCACATTTATTAGCCAGTAGACATGTGCAAAGTTTCAGAAACGGGCGTGGTGTAGGGACTCAGTAGCGCCACCTTTTGACAAAAGTGGGAGGTTAGTTTTATAGTTTTACCTACAATCATAAAAATCGGTACGTAAATTGTTCGGATCAAGCCGAACAACTTTCTAATTTACAGTCATTGGCCTGGACCAACACGAAGTCAGATATTTTAGTTTGAATGTGGTTGTTTTCGAGCATTTTCTCTCCCTCTGTCTCTCTCTGACAGAGAGAATGCACCCACAAAATCATACATAGGGGCATACTGCCCTCTTGTGTCCAAAATTATATTTATATATACATATATTGGGTATGTGACTGAGGACCTACAGCTTTTAAATACGGACGTCCACATTGATAATGGTGGCACTTGCAGAGCGCTCGAATGAATTCCTATGGAAGTAGAAATTAACTAAACGTTCGCTCAGCTCTGCTCGCTCGTCGCCATGGACGCGCACCGTTATGAATGCCAGTGCAGCCGCATACTTTTTAGTGTCACTTTAAAATTAGTGCAATAACGGGGCCGATTGCTTGAATTGTGAGTTCAATAGTCTATTATTTTTCACGGAAAACACAACAACAAAAGAGTACAATGATAGATTCGCCTAAATAGGGGCTTTTACATAAAATAGCCTATTCCGTCATCATCTTTTCAGTCAGCTCTTCACTCTCGTGATTAATGAAATTTGACTCCTGTTGCTGATATTTGCTGCAACTTTCGTTCAGCTCACAATTTAGTACGCAAACACGCTTCAAATGTGTTTTTATTTTATTTTTGTGTATACATATGTGTGTATATATATATATATATATATATATATATATATATATATATATATAGCTTATGTTTCAAATATGAGTTAATTAACAATCGTTGGAAAGAATGATACTTTTAATATCACTAAACCGTCATAGGTGTCGCCAGGCGACCGTCTTAATGAGCGAATCATTGATTCATTCGTTCAAACGATTCGTTCGAACGGCTGAGTCATTCATGAATGAGACAGATTATGGATTGGTCGTTGA